AGGGTGCCTCTGGGGCCCTTCTCAATAACTGTGCATCCCTGCAGAGTGGTGTTGACATTTTTTTTAATGTTAACATTCGGATTGCTGAGAATGGTCTTCATCCTTGCAGTAGATGCGGCAAAGCAAAACTGTGTTTTGTTTTGTTTTGTTTTGTTTTGAGAAGATAATAAAAGTGATAAAATTCTAGTTAGATTTACCAGAGGGGGAGAGAGAGGATGCAAATTACCAATATCAGGAATGAGAGAAGTGATGAGATTCCAAGGATATTTAAAGGAAAATAAGGAATATTATGAACTACCTTATGCTAATAAATTTTACAACTTAAATGAAATGAATAAATCTTTGAAAGGTACAAACTGCAAAGGCACTCAAGAAGAAATAGATAAACCCAATAGTCTCATATCTATTAAAGAAATTTACTCTATGGTTAAAATCTACCCACAAGGAAAACTCCAAGCCCAGATGGCTTTACTGGTGAATTTTGCCAGATAATCAAGGAAGAACAATAGGAATTCTGAGAAATTGCAGAAATAAAAGACTTTTCAACTCATTTTATGAATTCTGCATTATCTGATACTAAAACTAGACAAGAGACAGTACAAGAAAAGAAATCTGCAGGCCAACCTTCCCCCTTTGAAATAGATGTAAGAAATCTAACCAAAATTTTAGCATATCATATAAAACAATATCTAAAAAGGATAGTACATCACAACCAAGTGAGGTTTATCCCAGGTTTATACCCAAAGAAATGAAAGCAGGAACTCAGACAGATATTTGTATACCCATGTGCATAGCAGCATTATTTGTAATATCTAAAAGGTAGAAGATACTATTCAGCCTTAAAAAGAAAGGAAATTTTGGCACATGCTGCAACATGGATGGGAACCTTGAAGACAATATGCTAAGTGAAATAAGCTAGCCACAAAAGGACAAATCCTGTGTGATACCACTTATATGAGATACCTAGAGTAGTCAAACTTGTAAAGGCAGGAAGTAGAATGGTGGTTGTCGGGGGCTGTGGGGGAGGGGAAGTGGGAATTAGTGCTTAATGGGAACAGAGTTTCTATTTAGGAATATGAAAAATTTCTAGAGTGTGAATGGGTGTGATGAGCATACAATAATGTAAATGCATTTAGTGCCACAGCACTGTACACTTTAAAATGGTTCAAATGGTAAATATTATGTTTTGTCTATTTTACCACAATAAAAAAGATTGCATATGTAAATTGCTTAGTACACTACCTGAAAAATAGTTCATCAGTTTAGTAAATATTAATTCCTCTCAAAACAGGTAGAGGGGGGAACTAGTTTTGACAAGGATGTGGATAAATGGACCTTATACACTGCTGGGGGGAATGTGAGATGGTGCAGCCACTTTGGCAAATAGTTTATCAATTTCTTTTTTTGGTATGTGCCCTTGGTGGGAACCAAACCCAGGACTCTGGTCCGCAGGCCAACGCTCCAACTGCTGAGCCAAACTGGCCAGGGTAGTTTGTCAGTTTCTGAACAAGCTAAACATAGGGTTACCTTGTAACACGGTATTTATACTCCTAGTTATACAGGGGTGGGCAAAAGTAGATTTATAGTTCATAATAAATAATACAGTAATAAATAATAATACAAGAATAGACTTACAACTGTAAAATTACTCTTGCCCACTGCTGTATACTCAAGAGAATTGAAAGCATGTGTTCACACAAAAACTTGTACACAAATATTTGTACATTATCCATAATACCTCAAAGTGAAAACAGCCTACATGTTCATCGGTGGATGAATGGATAAATGAAATGGGGTATATTGATACAATTAATTATTATTTGGCCATAAAAATAGGAATGAAGTACTGATACATGCTATATAACATGGATGAACCTTGAATACATGCTAATAGAGGAAACTAGACACAAAAGACTACACATTGTATGATTGTATTTATATGAAATAAAAAATAGGAGCATCCGTAGAGACAGGAAGTAAATTAGAGGTTGCCCAGGGATGAGGGAAGGAGAAACTAAGGGTATGGGTTTTTTTGGGGGCTGATGGTAATGTTCTGGAAATATTTTCCTCGATGATTAAACAACATTGTGAATATACTACAAACCACTCAGTGGTTTAAATGGTTAATTCTATATTGTGTGACATTTATCTCAATAAACATTTTTTTAAATCGATCAGTGATACCAAAACCAAAGACATTACAAGAAAAAAAGACTACAGGCCTGGTATCTCTCAAGAACTTAGATGTAAAATCCTCAAAAAAAAAAAAAAAAAACTAGTAAATCCACTAAAGTCATAAAAAGAATTATATACCATGACCAAGTGGGATTTATTCTAGATATGCAAAGGTGATTTAACATTCAAAAATTAGTGTAATCCATTCCATCAAAAGGCTAAAAGAAAAAAATCATAGGATCATATCAATTGATGCAGAAAAAGCATTTGATAAAAGCTGACATCCATTCGTGATAAAAACTCTCAGCAAACTACAAATAGAGGGGAACTTCCTCAACTTGATAAGGAAACATCTATAAAATATACATATATATAGTTAAAATCATACTTAATTGTGACAAACTAGGTGCTTTCCCTTGAGATCAGGATCAAGATGAGAATGTTCTTTCTCACCACTGCCGTTCAAGAAGTAGAGCCAGGCTTCAGACGCCCAGGTTTCTGAAACTTAGTGATATGTTTGGATCTTTAAAGTGTTTCTTTCTGAGTAAAAGAATTCTGTCACCTTAAAAAGAGTATGCATTTGAATTTTGGGGTTTGTTTTTTCTTTATTTTTCAGAGTCATAGGCAGCCTGACAGAAAGAAAACCAGCTTTGGCAGAGAGACTGGGGTTTTAAGTCCAGCTTCGTCACTCATTGGTTGTCTAGATTTGAACAAGTCCCTTAACATTTTTATGCCTTTCTCCTGCGGCAAATGATGGCAGCTCAGAGAGCTACTCCCCACCCCTTATCTTTTGGGCTACTGTCATCCCCTTGGACTTAGGAAAAGGTAGAAGGTTAAAGGCTCCTTCGTGAGAAAAAGAGGCAAAGTGCTGGGATCCACTTTCTACCTAAGATAGACCTCGGTACACTTGGATTAGACACTTGATGACACAGGCATGACAAGATCTTCAGACTTTCTCCAGGAAGTCACAGCTTTTAGTTAAAGATGTTTTGATCTTGATTGTGGCTGATACTCGTAAAGGCAGGCGTATACAGTAGAGAAGTCATAGTGTTGCTTCTATGCCTTTCTGTATCCCTTTAGATTCTCTGTGCTTCAAATACCAAATTTTAAAACATCAGGCATTTGGTGAAATGACTGTCCTCTGGGTATTCACTCTGGTTCTGACTTTATTGTTTGATAGTTAATCTAAAAGGGCCACCTTGCCAAGGCCAGGTAATGTCTGTAAAGTGAGGACACCACTCCTCTTGCAGGGTCACTACAATAACTGAGATGATATGTTTGAGTACCTGGTACTTGTTAGACATGCAGAAACTGGCAGGTGATGTTGTTACTGCCAGTAGAGCTTCACTGACCCATCCATACTATCCAACTATTTTTATGCTCAAAATGGGAAACTGCTGTCTTCTCTGTCACTACATCACACTCGTGATCAGTCTGCTCTCGCTCACCAGACTGGACCAGGGAGGCCCAGGTTCCAGGATGTCAGTCTTTGTTTACTTCAGTCAGCTCTGTTCAATGGCCACAGGACCTTCTTTCTTACCCACTGGAATTGTATAATAAGAAGAAAGCAAATATTTTACTGATTCTTTTTGGTAATTTAGAAGCCACTAGACCTTGACCAAACTACTGAACTGTATTGTGCCTCAGTTTGCCCATATGAAAGTAGGGCGATGGGGTAGATGACAGTAGTTTTTCCTAACTCTGAAGTTATGCGATGCAATACTCTGGTGGTGGTGCTCATGTGTGAGCAATCCTGGGAACTTTGTTCTCATTATCACATACGTGTGCTTTGACATACGAGATATTTCATTCTCTTTTATTTAGCACTTGGGACTAATTTTGCCCTCCAAAATGGGAACAGCATTTGATTTCTTACAGGAAATTGATCTAGACCTTTGTTGTAATTATAAGCCAGACTTCATCAAAAGGAGAATAGTAATCATCTTTACTTTTGTTGTTGTTAATCCTCACCTGAGGATATTTTCCCATCGATTCTTAAAAATATGTTTTTATTGATTTATTTTTTTTTAAGAGGGAGAGATAGAAACATCGATGTGAGAGAGATACATAGATCGGCTGCCTCCTGTACCCCCCTACTGGGTATTGAGCCCACAACCCAGGCATGTGCCCTGACCAGGAATCAAACTGGGGGATCTCGCAGTCCATGGGACGGCGCTCAATCCACTGGGCCACACTGCCCAGATTCCATCAATTTTTTTTTTTTTTTTAAAGAGTGGAAGGGAGGGAGGGAGAGAGAGAGAGACATTGATGTGAGAGGGACACATCGACTGTTTGCCTCCTGTGTGACTTCAATTAGGGCCAGGGATCGAACCTGCAACACTGCCCTTGACTAGGAATCTGACTCACGACCCTTTGGTCCTCGGACCAATGCTCTAACTGCTGAGCCAAACTGGCCAGGGCATTACCTATTTTAAAGCTTAAATAAACTGACCCCAGTGACTATTATAAGAACCGTGTTCTTAATGTGTTTTGTAGTCACACAGAACCTGGCATTCTCTAGTCCAGCAGCTCTAACATGTCTGAGAGAAGTGGCCCAGGCCCTTTGGGAATGAGAGCCCTTTGTGGTAGTAATCTTTGGGTTGGTGCAGGTAGGAAAGAGATTAGTGGCAGGAAGTAGATCATTTTTTAAAAATCATAGAAGAACTTGGACATGCCCCTTTATAGTGGCATGCCCCCGACACCGATGAGAACCCCTTTTCTAGCTGGTGTTTGCTTGTTCTGGGGAGAGGGGAAGGGAATGACTGTGCTTTACCAGCCTCCTTTAGGATATTTCATGGGTTGTTTTCTTGCCTCTTGGTTTTCAGCGCATCAGAGCAGGGTGACGATGATCCTGTTTGTCCTGGAGCTGGAGTGGGTGCTGAGCACGGGACAGGACAAGCAATTTGCCTGGCACTGCTCTGAGAGTGGGCAACGCCTGGGAGGTTATCGCACCAGTGCTGTGGCCTCGGGCCTGCAGTATCCTTTGCTGGAGAAAATTCCTTGGTGGGAACTTAGCTGCTGACTTCTTTCTTTCATGAAAATTTTGGGTATGTGCAACTTGAAAGTTTTTTTATTTGCTAATTGCCATGCTAATGAAGTTACTCGTAGACTTTTTAAATGAACAAACCCTCGTGTAGGTAGTGAAGTGAGGTTATTTCCGTAAAGTAACAGACCCTGCTGAGTAGGTTGTGGTCTACTATGGCCTGACATCTAGGTAGAGCACAGCCCAGACTGAGAGTCTCAGCTGTCGCAAGGAATTGCAGAACATGGAGATAAATCCATCACCGAAATACATCTTTTACTTTTGTACAGAAGTCATTTACAGATAGATACTAAGGTTGTGAACACTCCCATTGGTACCTGGCAGGAAAACTACAAGATTCCTATTCATTTAGAATATATTTGAAAGGCTGCCATGCCAGGACCTCAGTAGGTTAGCTGGTATCTATAGGCTTTGTTACAAGTCCAAGACTTTTTCGGGATATGTAGAATGATATTATTTTTTATCTCCCAAGTCCACAGGGCCCATGTGCTCAGTGTGAACACCTGCTAATGCTGAGTAATCCTCACATCTGACTACTGGCTCCATTGAGCACAGGCTTGACAGGTGTGAACCATGTGTGGATGCTGCTGCCCTTGTAAGGAGTAAAGGGCCCTGCTTTCTTAATTTAAAAAGCTTAGAACTCTTCATCTTCTGACAAAGAGGAAATAGGTGGAAACAGAGCACTTGTCAGTCAAAGCAGGAAGAAATAGTAAGACTTGCTTTCAAATTTTCATCTCATTTGTAAACTGCTTACTCAGCAATTCTCAGCAATCCGAAAAAGTGCTTGACTGATTCTTTGCAGTAGCTGTATTTTCATGTGTATAGGCTAATGTCTCTTTTATTTTCCTCACTGGAAGGGCAAGATGGAGAAACTAAGAATGGCTTTCGTAGAAGGTTGTAAAAGTGCCAAATCATTAGAAAGACCAGAAGCAAGGATGATAAGGAATGAATAGCAGGATCAACTTAGGGTGGTACTACCTGTTAATAAAAGAAATTCCAGAGTTTACTTTTTAAAAGCCCTTTCAGATAAGCCTAATGCCTGAATTGAAATGCATGAATTTTCTTGCCAATAGGTTAATGATTTCTTATAGTGTTAGAGCTGGAAGGGCCTGAGATCATCCAGTCCAGTGCCTCATTTCACAGATGAGTCAGTCAGCCGAAGCCCAGGAGATATCATGTCCCTTATATGTGGCCACCCAGCTAGGATGTAGGAAAATCACCACCAGAACCCAGGTGTTCTGCTTGGACTGCTATTTTTTCCTGTCCTACTGCATTACCCCTTTGAGAACAGAATTAATGGCCCCAGTATAATTTGTTCTTAATATGCTGGCTTCTCTGTCACTAGCCAAGCCAAAGAATAGAGAAAAAATACAGATTTTACCCTTAAGAAGTTTACTTTTTTAAAAATTGATTTTAGAGAGAGAGGAAGGGAGAGGGAGAGAGAAAGTCGATGAGAGGGAACATCCATTTAGTTGCCTCCTGCATGCCCCCTACAGGGGATCGAGCCTGCAACCCGGGCATCACACTGGCAGCCTTTTGGTGCATAGGACGATGCTCAACCAACTGAGCCACACTGGCCAGGGTAACACATTTACTTTTTTAAAACTATCTGAAAGTGAAACACAAAACCCAAAAACACAGAATTAAAGCTGTCTTGACTTTGGTAGTCTGAGTCTTTTCAGGCATCTCCAGAAGTTATCCTTGTTTTTCGACTGTTTCCTTTGGCCACACCATGTGGTTTATCAAGCAAAAAAAAAATTAGATGCTCGGATATCAGAAGGCTTTGTGTATGTGTGTGAAAGCCTGTGGCTTCGTTTCCCAGTGTCTGTGGCCATCCCGTCTAACCTTGCTATTAGGGTAGAGGCGAGCTGCAGCCCTACATGCACATAGACCCTCATGGGAGATTCTCACCTCTGCCAGCTCGGCCTCTCTCTCGCCCCAGGTTTGGAGCCACCGTGCCAGCTCTGGCTCCCAGGAGCACATGCATGCCTGGTAATTTTCCAGTGCTGCACACTGATGGCGTAACAGTGCTGCCTTTGCCAGAGTCTCAGCCAAGAACCATATGTCTTTCCCAAGGCTGGAGGTTATTCTCTGGGAGTTGCCTGGTGTACAGATTGTTAACTGGCAACTCATACAGTGTTGTGGTTCACATTAAAATCCAGTTTTTAAACACATTTTCTCATGGGAACCCTCCACCTCCATTTCTCTCTTTCCCTTCTTTCTGACACCTGTCAGAAAGAGAGAGAGGAAGTGTGAGAGAGAGGAAGTGTGAGAGAGAGAGTTGGTTTTCGGTGTGTGAAGGAGAGAGAGAGAGATTGATAAGGAAGAAGCAGATCTGCAACAACATAAAATGTTCAGAATAATATCACTACCCCTATTTCTCTTCATAATGGACACTGGGTGGTATAGATAAGAGACTTTTCTACAGGTGAACTAATTCTACAGATGAATTAATTTAATTCTCTCCCATCACCTTACTCATCCAAGCCAACATGTGAGAATGAATCACATTGAATTCAGTATTTATTCTCTTCTTTCAGGCCTCTTATTGGAGAGTAACTGACCAGTTTACAAATTGAATTATCAGTTTATGAATAATCTAAAAATCTTTGGTTGCTTCAGCTAAAAATCTGAAGTTTCAAATATTAAATGGTCAATAATAATAATAATAATAGTCATGCAGAGAAGGAAAGAAAAAGAATAACTTACATTTGCAGTTCATGAGAGTCTATATAGTGCTTCTATATAATGTTGCTTTTTTTCACCATGAATACAGTAAGGTGAAGTAAAAAAGAACTAATTCTCAATTTTCATAGTGTAGAAACCAGAGGCTCAGAGAGGCTCAGATAGCTTATGTGACTCTCTCTTTTTTTTAAACATTTTATGTATTTATTTATTTATTTATTTATGTATTTATTATCCTCACCCGAGGACATTTTTCCATTTTTTGTTCAGACAGAGCGGGAGAGAGAAAGAGGAAAAGAGAGAGGAGAGAGAGAGAGAGAGGAACATCAACGTGAAAGGGACACATCGAGTGGCTGCCACCCGCACAACCCAACCAGGGCCGGGGACAAACTGCAACCGAGGTATGTGCCCTTAGCGGGAACCAAACCCAGGTCTCTCTGGACCGCAGGCCAACACTCTAACCGCTGAGCCAAACTGGCCAGGGCTATGTGACTTTCTCAAGGTCACATGACTGTTACCTGGCAGAAGCAAGAGTAGGATTTGAATCTGAGCATCCTTTAGCTAGCCCTCTGCACACCTGGGTATGGCAGAGCAGAACTGCTTCTCAGAGGTCCCATCATGCATTGAAGTTAGGAAATCGAACTTTTCCTCCCTGACTTTACCTCCTAGTCTGTGAATTTCTCGATACTCTATCCAGTCTCACCTTTTAGTCTTGTCATTTGGCCACATTTAATCAGATTTTTCATGCTTCTACAGAATAGTTCAGATACTCTTCATTTTAACATTCTGTTCATTTTGGAGATATTTTCAAGATGTCACCCTATGTAGTGAAATGTCTTTCCACCAAGTAGTCTTAGATCTGTTGCTACTCAGGAAAAGAGAACTATAAAGCTACGAAGATTATCTTGATTTTCATATTTGTTCATGTCATACTTAATGCCAATCACTCTGGCTTTGAGGTTATACTATAATTTTATTTCAACCCTCTTCCAAATATCTTTTGTTGAGTTTATATATATTTTTTAGAAAATTCTGTTATTTACCTGAAATTGTAGACTGCTGGGTATCAGATTGAGTCTGTTTTTTTCATACTTGTTATAATTAATCAAGATAAATTTAAAGTTATCTTATTTCGTGGAAATCTCTTTTTTTAATCCTCACCAAAGGACATGCTTTCTTTTAAAAAAAAAAAAAAAATTTTTTTTATTGTTGTTAATCCTCACTCGAGAACATTTTTCCATCAGGGAGGGAAGGGGGGAGAAAGAGAGAGAGAAACATTGATGTGAGAGGAACACATCAATTGGTTGCCTCCTGCATGTACCCTGACCAGGCTGGGGATCGAACGTGCAATCCAGGCATGTGCCCTTGAATAGGAATCGAACCCGTGACCTTTTGGTGCATGGAACAGCACTCCAACCAACTGAGCCACACTGGCCAGGGCTATTTTGTATAAATCTTAATAGATTGTTACAGTTATCTACTTGTTTGTAGAGTATAACTTTTATTCCTTGTTCTTGAGAATGGAAGAATTTGTTATGCCTTATTCCCCTTCACTATTTTAAAAAATGTATTATTGTGAAAAATTTCAAAACTTGTACCAAATTGGAAAAAAATTATATAATGAACACCCACATACTTATTCAGATCCACTGTTGATTCTTCTATCCCTTTTTGTTTTCTCTTTTTGCTGGAGTCTTTTAAACCAATTCTAGACCTTATGTCATTCCATCCTTACATACTTCATTGTGCAGCTCAAAATATTATGTACTTTTTTCAAAAATTATAATGCTATAATGTAAGAATGTATAATCACTCCTTGGTATTGTTGAATAATTGACCATTTAAAAATTTTTAAATTTCACTTACTATTTTTTTTTCCTTCATTGTTGAATGAAGCTGTCCCTCCTCTTTTCCCCCACTGACACCCTCCTCTTCACTCTCACACCCCCGCCATGCCTTCACCACACTGTTGTCTGTGTCCATTGGTTATGCATATATGCATATTAGTTCTTTGGTTTATCTCTTCCCATCCCCCCACCCCTCTTTCCAATGAGATTTGTCAGTCTGATCCCTACTTCCATGTATCTGGATCTGTTTTGTTCCTCTGCTTATTTTATTCATTATGTTCCGCAAATAAGTGAGATCATGTGATACTTGTCTTTCTCTGACTGCCTTATTTTTCTCAGCATAATACTCTCCAGGTCCCTTCACGTTGTTTCAAAGGATAAGAGCTCTTTCTTTCTTATAGCTGCGTAGTACTCCATTGTATATATGTACCACAGCTCTTTTATCCACTCAGCTACTGTTGGACACTTGGGCTGTTTCCAGATCTTAGCTATTGTAAATAATACTGCTATGAACATAGGAGTGCATATATTCTTTCTGGTTGGTGTTTCAGGCTTCTCAGGATATACCCCTAGAAGTGGGATCACTGCATCAAATGGCAGTTTCATTTTAAATTTTTTGAGGAAACACCATATTGTTTTCCATACTGGCTGCACTTACTATTTTAAAAGGACTCTTTGCAGTGATTTTATTTGATACTGGGTTCAGACAATGTCCACACATTGTATCAGGTTGTCATATCTCCACAATCTCTCAGCCTAGAGCAGTGATCTGACCTCTCTATTTTTATGCCGCTGTGGGGGTACTGAGTCAGTTCTTTTATAGATAGTCCCACATGCTAAATTGATCTCTGCTTCCTCATGTTGTCATTTAACCTGTTCCTCTACTTACCTCTCTGTCCTATATTTTTTCATTCACTGAAAGTTACTTCTAAAATCTTGATTCAGCCCTGGCCGGTTTGGTTCAGCGGTTAGAGCGTCGGCCTGCAGTCCAGAGAGGCCTGGGTTCGGTTCCCGCTAAGGACATGTACTTCGGTTGCAATTTGTCCCCAGCCCTGGTTGGTTGTGCGGGTGGCAGCCACTCGATGTGTCCCTTTCACGTCGATGTTTCTCTCTCTCTCTTTCTTCCTCCCACTCTATCTGAACAAAAAATGGAAAAAAATGTCCTCAGGTGAGGACAACAAAAAATAAAAATAAAATCTTGATTCAGTTCAGATTCGACTTTTGTTAAATATACTTGGTAATTGTGCTGTTGTGCTGCATATTGCTTCCCAGCAGGAAGCACATAGTGTGGGCTGTCACCTTGCCAGTGAGGCCAAGACTGATCAGCAGTTCAGGTGGTGACAGTATTCCCTGCAGTGCAGTCCTTGCTATTGCCCTTTCATTTCATGGTTTCATCCATTACTGATCTGTGCCTGAACCAATTCTTTCATTAATGTTGCAAAATGGTGACTTTGTAATCCTGTCGTTTTTGCACATGTATTAGTTGTAATTCTTCTATAAAGTAGAACTTTACCTCATTTAACTAGGGCTATCTGATTATCCTGAAACACAATTAGTGTGCAGCAAAAGCAACATAAATTCTTAATTATTTCTCTAATTGCTCATTTTCAGATAGAGATTTAGTGCCATGGATATCTCCAATAGGGATCTTTTATAAACTCTTAGAGTTTTATTTTTTTAAACAATATAATCAGTATATTTCAATAAAATGCTTTTTTTTTTTTTTTTAATGCTTTCTTTGTCCCATCTTTGGCCAGTAAGAGCCCCATCATATTGGCTCCTGTGTCTTTTTTTATTTTCTTGATAAATAAAACGAAGTGTTTATTTACACCAAAGAATTCCAACACTGGATCTTACACATGTGAAAGACTAAGTATTATTTATATACCCACACACAGCAAGGGATGGGAGGGCTGTAACGAGAGAGTTTATAGTTTCCCCACAATTACAGGTCTAGTATTTCCGTTTCACTGGAGACAGTGGCTCTGCTCCTGCCTCTCAGACACATTTACAAGACAGGGGCAGGTCTTCCCACTGAATGGCATGGGAGGTAAGGGGAAGGTGGGCGGAAAAGGAAGTAGAAAGCTTAAAACGAGACAGTGTGGCCAGATCTCCCATTAGCTCTTAAAGCATTTTTAGCATAAAACCTATGTAGGCTTTTTTCTTTTGTAAAAAGCAATTAAGTTATACCCAGTAACTAACTGAATTCAAGATGGCCAAATCAAAGAAAAGTGAGAAAAATTTTGCCTTCTCCCTCTTACCAGCAGTAGAACATGTTGGGACATGAAAAGGGAGAGGACCAAGGTAAAGAGCCTGGGAGGGAAAGTTATTAAAGTTTTAAGCTAAAGTGAAACTAATAAGTGAGTTGGGTTTAGAGTTAGGTCAATAAGACCTGATTCATCCCTGTGTCTTTTTGTTACAACCCCATAGTTTCTGATAGCTTCCTTGTTTTTTGGCAAAACTGTCTTAAGTTCGTCTTGTGCCTTCCTGTCCCAGTCCGGCAATCAGCCACTTCTTTTAGTGAGGAATAGTATTTAGAGATAGCTAGAACATATATGTACGTGCGTTTTTATAAAGAAAATAAAGTCTCAGTGCATATGATATTGTTTCACAATAATAATAGTAATGTTATAATAACTAGACTACTGCATGAGATTTTAGATCTTTGCAGTTCTCTTTGTCCTTAGAATATGTTCTATAAAGAACACACAGTCAAAATGCTGTGTTTTGAAATAATTCTGTTAACTACATGGTTATGTCACCAATTTGATAATTAGGTTAATTCATTTTCGTTTTCAGTTTGGGGCATTTTACAAGATTCCAAAATGGAAACTACATAACAAGAGAGAAGCCTCCCCTCGGCTTGTTTCTCCCTTCCCCACAGGCAACCGTTTTTGTTGGATCTTGGGCTTTTTTCTAAATATGAGCATGTGCACACTTATATTTATATGTTCTCCCTTTTTTACACAAAGATAGTAAAGCATATAAACTCTTATATACCTTGGCTCCTTTTTCCACTCAATAATATATCCTGAAAATCTCTCCATGTCAGATTGCTTATGATATGGAGGTCTTTCCCCCCCTGCATAGTTTTCTGTTGCGTGGATGTGTCATAGTTGATTCAATTAAGTCCGAATTTGATGGATTTTTGTGTTGTTTTCAAACTTTAGCTGTTATAGTAATACTGAGTGAATAGCCTGTCATGTGTCCTTTTGTATTTTTGCCAGTGTATCTCTGGGACAGATCTCTAGAGGTAGGATTATTGCTAGGCATTATCAAACAGGGACTCTCACCTTGGATTTTTAGTGGAGGCTGGTCATGTAGGCAGCCTCTGCGTGGCATGTACGGAACTTTCAGACTCCCAGAAGGAAAGCAGGTGTTTGTTTGTGTAGTTAAGGCACAGTGAGCCACTCTTGTCTGTTAATGGTGGAAACCCTCCTGAAATCTAAGTTCCCAGATGCCATGTTGGCCTTTTAAGCAGCCTTTCAAAAGATAGCGGTCAGACCTGCTAGGTTAGTGCTTTTTTGCTTAGCACCATTTTCATTTCTTGAACTGTTCATTCATATAGTGTGCCTAATTTTCTATTAGGCTTATGACCTTTTTCTTGAGAACTCTTTTTATATACTAGGGATTTGGGCCTTTTGTGACTTAAGTTGCAAGTTTTTTGTGTTTTTTTCCCAATTGGTCTTTTAGCTTTGCTCTGGTATTTGTTTGTATGTCTTTTTTTGAGTAGTAATGTTTTTTTTCCACTAAGGTTATAAGGGAACTAACTCTTCCATCTAGAACTTATATTTTCAATTTTTTACATTTAGATCTCTGATTCATTTGAAATTTGTCCTGGCATATAATGTGAAGTACAAATCCTATTTAATTTTTCCCAGTGACTGTCCAGTTTGTGCCAGTATCTTTTTTTGTTTTAATCCATCTTTTCCTTATTATTTGAAGAGCCACCTTTATTAGATAGGTAGCAAATTTCTGTATGCTTTTAGGTCTATTTCTACACTTTCTGTTCTGTTCCAGGGTCCATTTGTCCATTTATGTACCAGTACCACACTTTCAATTAAAGAGACTATAACACATTTTAATATCTGACAGGGCTAGCCTTCCCCATCACATGCCATTTTACTCTTATTTTCAGAATATTTCTGGCTCTTCTTGCTTATTTATTTTTTTATATAAACTTTAGAATTAACATCTAACTCCAGGGGAAAAGTATTGATGTTTTTATAGGGATTATATTAAATTTATAAATTCATGTTGTGAGAATTTACATCTTTATCGTGTTAAGTCTTACTGTCCAATAATACTGTGTCTTTCTTTTCATTTTGTTCATATTTGTATCTTTCAGCATTATGTCCAAGTTGTCCTCATGGGATTTGTACATTTCTTCTTACCTTTATTATTTTTGTAAATCCCTCCACTCAATATTGAGAAAAATCCTTAATCCTTACATGATAGATTTGATGTTGAAACCCGGCATGTATTTATTGGTGACCATTCAGGCCAAGTAACCATCCTCAAACTGGAGCAAGAAAACTGCACCCTGGTCACAACATTCAGAGGACACACAGGTGGGAATGAAAGCAAAATCCATGTGCTCTCTCCGTGAGCCGCTCCTGCTGCATGTGCTGGTGTTCAGGTAGCAAGTTGTGAACATGGCAGGACACACGCTGGGCTTGTGCAGACATATATGACACACTGACCTGGCTTCAGAGTGGGTCAGAAAGATAGTATCAAAAATGTTCTCCATCAGTCCCAACAAAAGAGGACTCAGTGTATTTTGAAAATGTTGGTGATTTGGTTCTTTGTCATGGTGCCCTGGAGAAAGCCAGTGTTGGCACATGTTAATGAGACATTGTTTGAGACTGTGTGGCAACTGTACAAAGCCCCTCCCCACAAAAGCCAAAAGGACAGCTGCTTCAGTCTGTCTTTGCCATCCTTGGACCGAGGAGATGGTGGGCAAGACAGACTCCCACTTCCAAGACAAATGAAATGAAAAATATGTTCATCATGGGTAACCAGGTTGCGTAAAAAGGTAAAAGTTCTTTAACTTCCCTTCCTTTTGGACTCTTTCCAGTTTAAAACCCAAGGCCCCCTTTATGTTACTGGCCTGTTCAGAGTCATTTAAACAAGTTTTAAATATTCATCATAAAATATCCATGTTTAGCCTTTGAAAGTCTTGAATAGGTGATGAGGATTAATTATTTACTAGTATTTTTAATGTGTGGTGTTAACCTTGAAAAATAAGTCACTGTCTGTTTTCGTGGTTGTTAATGGGCCTTGGTGTCTTCTTCAGATTACACCCACAGCTGAGTACAGAACATACTGAGTTTAGGCATCATATAAGAACCAATGTAGGCGAATGAGGATGTAAAATGGGATAGTATGTAAGTCATAATGGACTTCCTAAAGGGAAAAAAAAAGGGAATGAAAGAAAATTGAATCCAGGGAAAAGAGTTTTCAAAGAGCATCTGAATTATCTCTGCCTTTAGGAAGAAGAATTCACAGAAATATATTTCCTGTGGCTAGGACCCAGTTCTTTCTGATTGGATTTCTCATTCTAGCCACTTAGACCCTGGCCAACCCTGGCCTGGTGGGGATCCAGAACTCAGGAATCTTAAACTTCCGTGTTTCACTGCTAACTTCAGTCTCCTAATCTTTCACGTCCCTAAACCTCATTCCAACTCCACTGGCTCTCGCCCTTATTGAGAAGTTCAGTCCTTGACCCCTCATTACCCTGTGTCTCCACGCCACCTTTCCTTTCTTCCCAGGCGTGCGTCCCTTCAGCCGTGGGCTCCCCAACATGCTCAGCTCAGGGCCCCTTTTTCTTTCTTGGTAAATTTTGTCCATGATTCACTCACTGTCCATGCTCCCTCCTTGTGCTGTCTACCACTGGGTCAGGACCCAGCTGCGAGTTCCACTGTGGTTCTTAGCCCATCATTCCCAGTGCAGATTCATCATTCCAACCCAGAGTCGGGAGCCCTCATAATCCCACCACATGATTCGTCTACAGCGCTTCAGACCCTCGGTCCACTCCCCCTTAACAGCTTTCTCAGGCCTTCACTACTTTCCCCAAGCACTCCCTCCCATTCCAGCCTCCTCCTTCGAAGAAAAAATAGGTATTATCAGATAGCAGCTTTAAAAAAGATGCTTTTCATGCCTACCCATATTCTTCTCCAACAGACTTCTTCTCTACCCCTCTTTATCCCCTGCCCTCTGCCCCAGGCTCAGTCTCCTCGGGGTCTCCACCCCAAAAATCATTCCCTTTTCTACCTTTGGACCAACTCCCTCTTCTCAATTTATTAACATGCTCAAGTTTCTTGCCTCTCTATTAAAAGCAAATAAAAATCCTCTCAGTTCATGTCCTGTTGTAGCAATTTTCTTAATAGCAATGTTTTTACTCTTTTTAAAAAAATTGTGGTAAACTATACATAATCTTAAATTTACTATTTTAATCATTTTTAAAAAATCCTCACCCAAAGATATTTTTCTGTTTATCATCAGATAGAGTGGGAGGGAGGGAGGGAGAGAGAGAGAGAGAGAGAGAGAAATATCAATGTGAGAGAGACACATCAACTGGTTGCCTCCCCCACGACCCAAGCAGGGCTGGGGATGAACCGCAACCAAGGCACATGCCCTTGGCCGAAATCAAGCCTGACACTCATTGGTCTGCAGGCCAAAGCTCTACTGCTGAGCCAACCCAGCCAGGGCTTTATCATTTTTAACTGTGCAGTTCAGTGCTATTAAATCCATTCACATTGTTTTGCAACTGTCACCACCGTCCATCTCCAGAACATTGTTCATCTTGCAAAACAGAAACTTTGACCCATGAAGCTCTAATTCCCCTCTCTCCCCAGGCCTTGGCAAACACTGTGCTGCTGTCTATGTCTGTGAACATGACTACTCTGGGTACCTCCCGAGACTGGAATCATAGAATTCGTTTTCTTTTTTTTGGTTAATCCTCACCCGAGGATATTTTCCCCTTGATTTTTAGATAGAGAAGGGGAGAGGGAGGGAGGAAGAGAAAAAGAGAGAAACTTTATGTGAGAGAGACACATCAATTCGTTGCCCTCTGCACAACCCTGACCAGGGCCAGAATCAAACCTGAGACCCTTCGTCCTTGGGCCGACGCTCCAACTGCTGAGCCAAACCTGACAAGGCAGAATTTGTTTTCTGACTGGATTGTTTCACTTAGCATAATCTTCATGTTGTAGCAAATAGCAACGCTTTAAAAAATATTATTTCCCCAGCTGCTTCAAATTCTTCACCTTGCGTTTCCTTTCCAACCACCTGTAACTTGGCCTGTCTCATCACTCCACTTCACCTGCTCTCCCCAGGGCTGCCGATGGCCTGCTGGTTGCTAAATCCAGTGGACATGTTTTAAGCCATGTCCCACTTAAGTTAAACCTTTCGGTGGCACTTGACTTTGTGGCCGTTCCTTCCTGCTTGTAACTGCCCTCCTTCGGCTTTTGTGACACATGCTCTCTTCCAGTTTTCTTCTGCATCTCCATCTGCTTTCTCATTTCCTTGTGGGCTCTTTTAGGTTCTGCCCTGGACGCTCGTCTCTTTACACTCTGCTCTCTCTGGTTGATCTCAGCCACAGAAATGAAAGGCACAGTCATTGTCCTAAAATTTCTCACAGCCCAGTGAGAGAGAAAAAGCTAAACCAGTAATTCTAGTGCATGGTGGCAGGGGCAGCAGAGAAGCAGGCACTGAGTACCCCAAGAACACAGAATGGGCACCTCGCTGGGGTGGGCGTGGGAGTCAGGGAAGGCCTCCCCAGGGAAGACGTGGCTTCAGTTAAGATCTTTGGGGGAGGATTAAGTGTTGAATTCATGAAAAAGTAAAAACAGTCCCGGCAGAGAAAACCAGCATGGTCCAAGGCATGGAGATTTATAAGAGTGTGGCTTTCATGGGAACATCTCTTTTGGGCTGGAACACTGAGTATGGGGGGTGGGGGGCAGCCAGAAAGGAAGTGAGAGTCAGTTCAGATCACTGAGGGCATTATCCTGATGTCAGTGAGAAACCATTAAAGCGGGGTGTGTGTGTGTGTGTGTGTGTGTGTGTGTTTATTTTTCTTTCCTTTTTTTTTTTCTTTTTTTTATCCTCACCCGAGGATATTTTTTCATTTTTTGTACAGATAGAGTGGGAGGGAGAGAGAGGAAGGGAGAGAGAGAGAGAAACATCGATGTGAAGGGACACATCGAGTGGCTGCCACCCGCACGACCAACCAGGGCCGGGGACAAACTGCAACCGAAGTACGTGCCCTTAGCGGGAACCGAACCCGGGTCTCTCCAGACCGCAGGCCGACGCTCTAACCGCTGAGCCAAACTGGCCAGGGCTGTTTATTTTTATTTTCAATTGATTTTAGAGAGAGGAAGGGAGAGAGAGAAACATCTATTTGTTGTTCCATTTATTTGTGCATTCACTGGTTGCTTTTTGTATAGGCCATTAAAAAGTTTTTTAAGCAAACCTGTTAACTTGATCAGATTTCAAAGATTGTTCTGGCAGTGAGTAGAGAGTGTAATTGGTAAGCTGGTACCTGAAAATGGAAAATCAAGGAGTGGATGGACCCAAGGTAAAAATGTAGGTGATGAGCCCAGCAGGCCTATTGGACTGGCCAGCTCCCAGATTTGGTTTAGGGAGGTTGTGTTGAGCCTGACCTTTGGCTCGTTAGTAGTCAGGCATTCACCATATGGTGGCCAGTAAGAGTGCTCTGAACTCTGCATTGCTGCCTTCGGGTCAGAAAACCGGTAAGTAGCTGCTGCTTACGCTGTACGGTGGACCAGATGTGGCCCAAGGGTTCCATGTCTTGTGAGTGAGTTCTACTATGAAATGTTACCTTGACATTGTGTCTTGTCTTTCTCAAAATGTTTAAAGCATTTTCATATGATTTTATCATGAGGTATCTTTGAGGAAGGCAGGACATGGTCCCAGAAGGTCACTAACATGAAGGCAAATGCAGCAGGTCACCTATTTAACTTGCTGTTATTCCTAGACAATAGTATCTACTCATTTCCAGTCTGGCTCAACTCAAAGCTAGAGCAAGGATGTCTGAGAGATTCCATGGTATTCCAAACATGTTATCGAGTTCCTCCTATGTAGTAGGCCCACTCTGGACCCCAAAGATCCCAAACTCGGGCAGACACAACTCCAGAAAGGGGGGTTTTATAAGGATGTTTAACCTTCCCCCTCCCCTATCTCACAGACACATTAAGATGAATCCAGATCCATTACAGAGTGATCTTGGGGGTCTTGTTAGTCCATATCCAAACTTAGAATTCTATTATAGTAAAGAAGGTCATATAAAAATGTTGGTTATGATGGAATCAGCCTGATAGTCATACCCAGAGGCCCGAGATGGCGTTTATTAATCTAAGGGGACTTAGGAAACCAGTTTTATGTTCTTACACTTCCTCTGCTGGTTTTATTTCTGGAACCAAATGCCAAGAATCGTCATGCTTCTGCATCTGCAGAAATTAGAATGTTTTTCTACCAAAAAGTCATACACTGACTAGGACAAAGGGAGAAATAATCAGATTTTGACCACCGGAAATTTGTAGTATCAATT